AGCACAGAGCACAGAGCACAGAGCACAGAGCACAGAGCACAGAGCACAGAGCACAGAGCACAGAGCACAGAGCACAGAGCACAGAGCACAGAGCACAAATCAGCCATCTACCTTCAGCAGCAAGATCCATATCATCCGACCCCGAAACCCAAGACATCGACCCAAACAAAGAAACCGAATCCAACGCGCCACGCCGCCAAAACGAAAACAAATTCATCCAGCCAACCGCCCAGCTCCACGCCTCCAGAACGAAAACAAGTCAACAAGCCCAGCGCCAAAACGAATACACTTTCATGCACGACGACCGACCAAGACGCCAAAACTAAATAACTCGACCAGAGTCGGCACCACGAGCCTTCATCACAAGCATTCAATTTACATCAACAGCAGACCACTCGACATTTCGCGTCGGTCGCCAAGCCAACGACTTCCATCAGCCCGCGTGTTCAAGTGAGCCATCCGTGTACCTTCGGGTGCTGCAGCTCCAGGTCGGCCCTCGGCCGTATCCAAGTGGAACTCCGCAACACGTGTCTGGATCATGACCGCGAACGCTGCTGGTCGATCAAGTAGCTTGACTGACGATAGACCACGTAAAAAAATAAACCCATAGTGGTAACCCCGGTAATACACCACCTGACAAGAATCCACACTTTGCGGTTTGAAGATGCAGTGGGCGCTCCGTCAATTCCGAACACCCTTTCGAAACAAGGGCAAATTGAAGGATCCGTTGTAGAGTGTCGTCGTTGTGCGGCCTTGGTCGTCAAGGCGGTCACCCTCGTACGCCTGCTCTTCGCTCCATGAAGAATCGCACCCCATCCACGTTCAATTGCTGTGGCTAGTGATACACATACCACAGCAAGTTTCTACGAGCATGGGGCGACCTGCTGCGGGCGAAATCAGGGTTAAGCAAATTCCCACGCAATGCGTTTATCGACTCGCGCCGCCCCTTCATTTCAATTGACAAATAAATGTACCCCACGCCCAACGAGGCGTACGTGTCCATCAAGCAATGGAATGATACTGAATGTAGTAATAAAGTGACGTTGAATACAACCCTGTTCAAGTGTTTAGAGCCGTAAGCTACGTCACATTCGCAAATGGTGCGAGGCGGTGCGCTTTAGCCCTAATACTTGGACGACGTGTCGGCCATGCGCTCAAATGTATTCCTGGCGGCCGCGCGCCAGTCCGTGCCCCGCAAAATCCACGAAAAGATGCAGCACGCCGTAAGGAGGCCAAGGGCAATACCAGCCCAGAGACCGAACACGTTGCCTTCAAAGTAAAAGCCGAAGAGAGCCGCCATGGGGATGCCCACAGCGTAGTACGCAGCCGCATTTACGTAGGCACCTACACCACGATGAGATCACAGCACGAGGCGTAAGAGCTGAGGCACAGCAGCTCAGATAACAACGCACCAATGGACTGGCGACCCATGCCTCGCAAAATTCCTTGGACAACGCAGTTTGTGCCGTCGACGAACTCGAAGAGTGCGAGCAGATATAAGGCGCGCTGCGTTTCTCTACAGGTACAAATGTCGACATAAGGACAAGTTGTCCATATTGCGAAGAACGCAGTACGCAATCGAGTCGGGGTCGTTGATAAAGAGGGCGGGCAGCACATTGTGCGTCAAAACGAAGAAGCTGGCGACGAGCAGCGCGGCCACAAATGC